TATACACACACACACACACACACACACACACACACACACACACCTACTACACTGTCCCTATTCCTTGTTCATACTTTCCTTCTAAAATGTTTATTTTCTCTCTTATATCAGTGTCTGTTGAAAGAAATGATCAAGAACAGAAAGAAAAGGCTATGAAAGTGAGAATGGATGCAAGTGAAGATGAGGTAGGTGTGTTTGTGTAGAGATCCTGATTGTGTAACATAAACATTGGTATTTTTTAAATGTTCAGTTGCAGTAGTCTATTTAAAGACTTACATTGTTCGAAGACATATTTTGGTAGCAAATTTTCATGCAGTTTTGTTTGACCAATGTTAGAAAATTGTGAAAGCCAATCTTTTTATCTTATGCAGTTGCGAGCGTCGTAAAACCTCTACTAAAACAATCAAACAATCTTTTTATGTAACTTTTTCTATGTGTGCAATTTTATTTATCAAATTTTTTTCAGTTTTCTATTTACCAAAGTTGTATTAAAAGTTGCTGACATCAAAGAATCAATTAATGTCAAGAATAAATAATATTTCTAATGAATAATGAGACTCATAAAGTCATCACTTGTGCCTAAATTTATTTGAAATTTTTAGTGCAAAGTTTGTTTTTAAAGCAACTCCAGTTTTATGCCTTTTGTTCCTGAAACATTACAAGAGAAGGCATTTTTTCAGATTAAGCTGCTACGAGATGAGATAGATCAACAAAGAATCGAAGTAGCAAACTTAGGTTCCACTCTTCAGAAAAAAGAAAATGATTTGCAGGATATGGGAAAGTCTGTTGGTAAGTTTTGATTAATATCTTTTATAAACAATCAAGTAAATTTATCTCAAGGGATGTTAACTCACTTTGAATATCTAAAACTACAACTTAATTTTTCCATCAGCTTGAAGTGGAGTTTTGCCTCTCAAACACAAAACATAGTGGTCTAAAACATCAGTTACATTTAACCTCTTTGTATAGCTCTCTACCTCCCTATCTTCTTCCCCATAGCGTGCACACCACTGCCATTGTTTCTTGCTGTATAGGAACTTGTAGGCATGGTGAAAACTTCTCGCGGTCTAAATGATCAAAATAGCGTCGATGAGGGTACAATAACAAAACTTATACAATTACATTTCTCTTTTCATAGAAATTATGTTCCACATGTTCCTAATGCTCTGCTCTGATATAAATCCTGGTACATGTAATAGCTTTAAAACTGTTTTTATATCATTGTCATATCAAGGTTTACTGTTTTGACGGCTCATTTTAGGCTATAGTCTCATTAAAATCACACTGTGCCTCTGAGTATTTCAGATGAGTTACAAGCACAAGTAACCTTTTTGTCTGGTCAACTGGAGAACAAGGAGGAAGAGCTCAAGACTTCTTCCCTTCACATTAGTAGTCTTCAGGTTTGATACTCTTCTTTTCATCTCATGATAATACTACAGGATATTAGAATAGTGAAGTTTTTTATACTTTATTTTCTGTGCTCTTGTTAATAAAAATTTAGTGAGCTTCTTTCCGGGTTCACTTTACTATAGATTAGAAATGGACCATATTATAAGCGTACTGAAGTTGCCTCAAAGTACCGGTGGAGATAATGAACCATCAGAAGACACGTTTGGTTTTTTTAACTTATTTTTACGATTCCCTTGTACTTGTAGTTTTTGTCTCAATTTTTTTCTTGTCTACCAAAGCAGATGGGCTTAAGTAATTTTTAGTCCTTTAAATTGGTCCGAACACTAACGCCCATCAACATGTAGGTAATCCTGCTCCTCACTTAAATTTGAAAACATGTTAATCTATTACGACATACTGATTTCAAAATCAAACTTGAGAAAGGAGTTATCTTCAAATGGTTTTTTTCGGCACCAACAATTTAAACATTTTTTTCCGTGATTTAAGGTTTCCTGCAAAGGAGCCTTATCTGAATACTCAATGTGCTGATTTCTTCTGGGGTTTTACTTCCAAATCTAATGAACGTCTCAAACTAATATGTTGGCAATGATGATGTGTTTGTCTGTGTTTAAGAGTTTCAAAGAGTTGCTACATTTATTGTATCTATTTGCTCATAGGAAGAGAGCTCTAAAATGGAAAAAGCTGTGAAGAAACTAGAGCAAGATCTTACTTCTTTACAAACAGCCAAAGATGTAATGGCTTTAGGAATGACTGAAACTAAAACACAGCTACAGGAACAACTTCTCAAAGCTTCAGAGGAAGTGACTACAACCAAAGAACAGCTTGAAGAGGAAAAGAGGAGGTACAGTCTGATGTCACTATTGTGCCCTATGCTGACAAAATGCCTTTTTCTTATTCTCAGTTGTTTTGAGAAATCAACAATTTTTTGTTTCATATAATATCTAAACTATTTTGCGCAGTACACCATTGGTTGATCTCACACCCTGAAGAGAATGCCATTCCCTATGCTTAACAGATATTATAAGAAAACCAAAAATTATTGATTTCTCAAAAATGCTGTAAATAAGAAAAAGGCATTTTGTCAGCTTAGGGCAGTATTGTGATCCCTGATCTCAGGTTTTGTTGAATCAAAATAGGTAGAAGATAAGCCTCTTTTGTGTTTTTTAAACAGCCCCTGACTTTTGTCATTATCACCCTTTTAAGTTCTACAAACGTACTCAGCAATCATTTGCAACAACAGACGGAAAATTTAACTGTTGAAAAGTGAATGTGACGTCTGATAGTTCCATGTATAAACATTTTAGAAAGCATGCAGCTTTTGTGATAATCACTGGCATAGGTGTCTGAACACAGTGTGACTGAATACCACAGAGGAAACCATCTCCTCTCTCCCTAGTTTATTTTAATAAGTTTGTGTTGGTTCACTTTAGTGAGTCTTAATAGTGCATTTGCAATTAAACTGAATAAACAACTTAAGATAAGTGTAACCTCTTAAGAGTTTAACGTTACCATTTTGCATCATTATGCTCATTATCACACTCTAGAGCTGCTTGTAATTTCATCATACTTATAGGCCTATGTATGCTTTTCTTCAAAACAGTTTGAAAAGTTGTGAATCCAGGCTAGAGGAAATGACAGCTTTGATTGAAAATCTTAAGAGTTCAAGAGGTGAGTGAATTTCTGTTTGTTGTAGTGAAAGAATGGATATTCAGCTTTTAGGTCTTTAATGAAAAGAAACCTTAACACTTTGCAGTCACTTATCGCAATAATGCACCGGTGAAAATGATCCGTTTTGGTCACCTGGCGCAGTTCTGTGCCAGGCCCGAGAAGTTTGTTGCAGTCACTCTCCTGGCTGGGAGACCAGATAGGTTATTTTATACTGCTGGCTGTGTGACTGCAAAATGTTTACTGAACCCAACAAAAAGAAACAATTGATGTTACACAAAACAGATGTTAACTGAAATGAACTCATTAGATATCTGTAAACATTCCTTCCTATGTGAATTATGAAAAAAGTATTTACCAGCCACAGATAATACTGCTGCATGTCCACATTGTATATGTTTTTTAAATATTTCTTCAAGAAATTTTTCACAGCTTTTTCGAATCCACAATTAATGTACTAATAATGCTACTATTCTGACATCATGTGAGGCTTGCTGTTGTGCTGGTCACGGTACCGGTAGTGTAAATATTTTAGATTATAGTGTTGTAATGAATGTAGATTATATATTATGATACTGTTATTTATGGAAAAAAAACAAAACATTTTAACTAGTGAAAAGTATTAAAGAAACCTGGCTTTTTTCCTCAGATATTTTGATATTAGAAAAAACTGACGTTGAAATGAATCTGGACACCCAGAAATTCCATCTGGTAACTATGCCTTTTTATTTGATAGGTTAGCAGTTATCTCAGTTGATATCATGCTGGACTGTGGTGCGAATGGCCCTGGTTCAAATCCGTATTGGGAAGTTCTTGAATATGGATTGTGAATGGAGTTATAAAGGCTCTTCATTTGCTTGTCTAGTTCCAGTCACAGCTAGTTGTTGAATTCCGTAAATATAACGTTAAAGATTTGAAAGGGGTATTAAACCTAAACCACTACTTATTTCATAGGTTGGGAGTGCTTTTATTTGAAAAATGTAAGTTGCATCTGTCATTTTTTTGTGTGCATTTCTTCATGTTTGTGGGTTTAACACTTTACCGTCACATCTCGCCGATCGACGATGTTTACCACTCAGTTTCTTTGGACTTTCCCTAAAATGCCTTAAGGCCTTTGATGGCAAGGGTTTTTACTTTATGAGCCTTGTGATGGCAAAGTGTTAATTGTGGAAGGGAGAGGAGGGCCTTTGAGTTGTTGTTTTTTTAAAGGAGGCATAAGATCATTCTTTTTTTTAAAATAAATAATTTCTTGTGGCATGATAGAGAAAATGTTTTATAAATATTACTTTATACCCAAAATATTAAGTTCTTATTTCCGGCTGCCGCAGGTTACTGTTTTTCAAGTGTGTAGGCCTATTTAAGTTTTTTGTTTGTTTTTTGCCCGTGATTCATAACTGGAGAAAATGTACAGTAGAAAGAAAGCCTGCACTTATATAAACTGTTCGGCCCTCTTGACCTTCCTAAAATTTGCACTGTTATAATATAGCAGTCAGGGGATGATGTAATTGTGTGTACTGTCTCCTTTGCGGTTTTAGTTCTAGTTGATTCTTTAAGTTTGGTGTGATATATCTTTGATATCATTCATTTCAGAATTGTCTGATGGCAGAAAAACAGGAAGATAAAGAAGAGATGCACAGACTCAATGGTGAAATTGCCATATTGACAAAGAAAGTGGACAGAGAGAATCTGCTACGAGTCCAAACTCAAGTATGAAAATAATGAATTTGACTTTAAGAGATTTGTCTCATATCTATGTTGAAAACGTTTCATTCTCTTCCTTTTTTTTTGTTTTTGGTCCCATGGTTTAATTCTTCTCTCTGTTTAGACACTACTGTTTGACATAGATAAAGCCAGTACGCTGAATTATTTCAGAAAGATTTTCTCCATAGCATAATTTTTATCCATTTGCTGCAAAGGCATGGAATTCTTATACACAACTTCTGATGACTTAACTTTTAGAACAGCTCAAAATTATTGTTTGGTAAAAATGTGATAGAAAATGGTTTGGAAAGAAAAAGTTGCCAACAGTTTTCAAAAGATAATCCTTTTTTTTTGTTCAGGATGAATGTGAAACATTGCAAGGCAAGATCTCAGCTCTAGAGCTGGAGCGCGTTGAGCACATAGATGAAATTGCAAGCCTTCAAGTGGAACTAAGAGCTAAAGAGGTTTGTTATCACTTTGATATACTGACGCTGAACCTGCATTACTGATTTCGAGTTTTCTTCCAAATGTGTGTAAACAGCTTATGTAAAAGTTCTCCATTAGAGAATATTGTGCAAATCCCCTCCCTGGTTTTTTTTCTTCGGTACTTGTTGCTTATTTATGCCATTCTTGACTGCATTCATGTCGGGCAATACATTACAACTCACATTACTTTATTTAGGGGTCTTTAATCTGCAGCTAGTATCCCTCCATTGATTTGTTATCAAAGTGAACAGTGAGCATGTTTTGGGGCTTTGTTTGCTGTTTTGGGGGGAATCATATTGTATTAATCTGTCCTAGTTTATTTCTTGCTACAGGAAAAGATCAAATGTCTAGAAAGTCTTTTGTCGGAACAAGAAAGCAAAACCATCAATCTTCAGAGTAATGTTGAAAACTTGGAGCAACACTTAACCAGTGAAAGGTGTCCATGGTCATTTCTTGTGACACTGATTCCTTTTTTGTTTGTTTGTTACTTTGTTTCACCTCTTTTGAATTGGAAAAATATTATTTTCTGGTGCAGGTGGAAGCTTGCCTTGTTTATTTGATTGGTTAATTTGCATGGTTCCTTCTTTACTCTTACCTGGTATACGTATAAAATATCTCGACGGTGTGGATGATTGGCAGGTGCTCTGACGTGGTTTGCTCCTTCTTTCCCGTCAAACAACTATCATCTTTATCTCCCTTCCTTCTTTTTTGTGTTTGTTACTCTCTTGTAACACTTCTAATCTTCGTCACTTTTATGACCTTATTGTGTTGCAAGTGCCGTAAAACTCACACTAAAACTAAAACTATCTTGGCAGTGACTCCAGCCACACCCGCTTTTGTTATTTAGAAAGGCAGGCTCCAGTGGCCAAGTGGATCGTGAGCTCAGACTCCTACCTTATTTCAAGCAATGTCTGTGACTCAGAGTTTAAAAAGGTAATGGCTGAGGTGTGTCCTTGAGCTATACATCTATAAACTCTAGTTTAAAAAATAGGGGGGGGGGGGCAAAAACCACAGCAACCAGCAATGATATGCTACTGTTTTAGTTCATTATGTTATTTTATAAAAACTGTATTCCGCTGTGACGGTCATCTTGAAATACATGTGTTCTTCCTGTTTTTCAGATAGCACGAAGTCTTTGTCTTGCTGTCTTTCATTATTTTTCATAATGCTGTATTGTGAGTGACTACAAAACGTATCAATTAGAACATTTTTTCACTTTACATGTTTCATATGGGATTGTCATTTTGAGATTGATTTTCATTATTTATTCCTTAAAAGAAAATTTACACTAATCGTCCGGATACTTTTACAATTCCGAGGAAATTTTCTGTTATTGTTTTCTGTTATATTTTTGTTTTGACCTATTTCATGCACAGGGACCAGAACACAAAAAGAGAAGAGCACATTTCTGTGCTTGAAGAAGACCTTCAGAAACAGGAGAAATGTGTGGCTCTGAAGGATGAGGAGATTGCAGCTCTCAAGAAAGACATTTCTGTAATGAATATAAAAATGGATTCTTAAAATTATTTTTATAAAGATAAATTATATCTCGGCATAGTTATGAAATAAAGATGTTTAATTATCGAAAGGTTGGCTTCTTGGGTCATGCAATCATGCATTGTTTTCTCCCTAAAAATATGTTTATTGCTGTCGCTTAACAACAAGTTAAAAGTTACAAAGTACTGTTGCAACAGTAAAGTAAATAAGTTCTTGAGTGCAGATCAGCAGCGCTTACTCTGTGCTAGAAAAGTGAAAAGCCAACTTTTTGGGGAGGTTTTTCATCTAATTCAAAATATTGATACTTTTGTAGGATGATATTTTGAGTTGTACGGGAAACAGGCCTTACATAATGATTATGGTTTATAGTGTTTTTGTATAGAGAAAAAGTTTGCTTTCCAGTATAATAAGAATCATAAGCATTTGACTCTACCAATTGTCAAGCTACTTATAATCAATTTATATGCAGGGTCTTTACAGTGTCAAGAACTCAATGGCAGATGATCTGAAAGCTACAGTTTCTGAGGTTGAGGAGTATAAGTAAGTGCTTTTACGTCTCAGTCAATTTGTGTTTCTTGCTACTCTTGATTCTCTGCTCTTGTCCATGCAGTCTTTGCCTATATTTAAATGTCCTCTGTGTCTTGATTAGTCTTGTTCACTCACACACACACTCACACACACACACACGCACACACACACACACATGCACTCTCTCTCTTTCTCTCTCTCTTTCTCTCTCTCTCTTTCTCTCTCTCTCTCTCTCTCTGTCTTTCTGTCTCTCTCTCTCTCTTTCCCCATCTCTCCTTCTTTTTCTCTCTCCCCATCTCTCCTTCTTTTTCTCTCTCCCCATCTCTCCTTTTTTTTCTCTCTCTCTCTCTTTGCCCCCCTTCCCCCCCCCCCCCCCCCCCCCCCCCCGTAAATGTATCATTCTTTTGGAAATACCTTTCAAAGAGTTTTGTAGCAAAAATATTAAACTTCTTAACAATGTAATCTTTTCTCATGATGACTATCATATTTCTGTAGAAAGAATGGACTTCTATCTGTGTGTCTTAAAACATTTAATTCTGCCAATGGTTAGTGAGAATAATTATTATAATGCATAAAGAAACTAATATAGCTGTTCCTGTATTTTAAATGTGTTCATAACATTTTGAGTGGGTGGTTAGCGGGTGCTTTGGTGTGGTTTGCTCCTTCTTTCCTATGAAACATCTATCATCCTGATCTCTGTTCCTTTTTTTTGTGTTTGTTACTCTCTTGTAACACCTCTAATCTTTGACACTAATATAACTTTACTGTGTTGCAAGTGCCGTAAAACTCTAACTACATCTAAACAACATTTTAAGGAACACCAAATTTGCTTCAGAATTAAGCTGGAGGAAAAAGAACGCCAAATCACTGAACTGACTTCTGAGCTCGAAGATTTGAGTGAAAAGGGAAAAGAAACTGTGAGTATATATTGTGTTGGTGGTACAAAGTAAAAAAGTAATATGAACATATTTTAATAATGGAGTAAGTCATAAGCTTCCATCAATTTCTAATAAATTTTGGGATATTGTTATTGCTTTCAACCCAGCAGTACATGCGCTTTCATCGTTTTGCTTGATCCTAAGTCCTAGGTAGGCAAGCTGATTGTGCAAGTTTGCTTCAGCTGCTTCTCTGCTCCAATAAGGAGTTGGGGTCAGTATATATAGGCCGTGATAGAAGAAAAGAAAACTCCGCTGTCTCTGATATAGGCTGTGGAGAAAGTGGTAATTGACTGTTTCGTGATGGAAGCTGTACAGTGGTCAGAGAATGGGGACTTGTGGTTTGACATGATTCAGGTGAACTTTTAGTGGGAAACCCCTTGTGGAAAGTCTCAGGAACTCTTTGAAGACTAATTTTGTTTTTTTTTAATTTTAATTTTAAAAAACAAAAAGTTTATTACTTCTGTACTTTATTGTCATTTCCTACAATTGCTGTTTGAATTAAGTCACACTTGTTTGTAGATGTCGCTACTAAGTTTCAGACTGAACATGTTTTAAAAAAACAAAAACAGAATGAAATGCACACCTGTTGTTTAGGGAGATTATTGTAACTTTGTATTTTCTTCTTCTCTCCCCTTATGTGCTGAATCAGGGAAAATCAATGTCGTCTCAGAACAAAAAGATTGCAGATATGATGAAGCAGAACAAGGCCCTTGAAAAGGAGGTAAGGCTGTTTGTGTAGTGTAAATTATATTGAATGCACACTCACACGCACGCACACTTGTATGCATGCTTGCACACAAAGGCACACACAGACACATGCACGCATGCGCGCGCGCACACACACACACACACACACAACACACATACATGATACATTAATACATACACATGCACGCATACACACACGCACATGATAAAACACATTCACACACACACACACATACACAAACACACACACACACACGCACACACACACACACACACACACACACACACACACACACACACACACACACTCACACACACACACTCACACACACACACACACACACACACACACACACACAGATGCACATACATACACAAACTCAATGACTCACTCACTCACTGACACACACACACATCAGAAAAGGTGACTGACTACTTATTGATCACATTTTCACATTTGTTTTGACAACCGTCTTTCACACTACACTGTTGCTTTGTTATTTATGAGTCAAAGGCTTAATTAGTTAGCCAGTCGTGAAGTGAACCTTCGCAGAGGTGAACAACTTGTGTTTCGCGCGCTCATATGACCTTAGCAGTTGCGAGCGCCGTAAAACCTTATACTATACATACATACATACAAAGGCTTAAAAATGTTTTGTACCTTTCCCTCATATTTTTTATAAATGGTGTTACTAACAGGTGAAAACTGCAACAACAAAGCTAAACAAGCAACAAAAGCTCACTGAAGATCAGGCAGAGGAATTGGAAAATCTGAAACAAGAGATCTCCTCTCAGAAAGAACTGAACCTTGAAATGGAAGAGCGTCTCAAAACATGTGTGCAAGATATGCAAAACTTAAAAGTAGCTTGCGAGAGAGATCAAAAGGAAGCTAAGCATGCTACAGAGAAGGTTTGTTATAGCCATATTCACTATGTAGAACTCTTTTCTCTGTTTCCATTGGTACGCTTTAATTGTATTCCTTGGATTCCTTTCTCTTTGTCAAGATCATTTCCTAGATAAATATCCACACTGTTTACCATTTGTACCAAAACAGTATACAGTCGAACCTGCCTTAACGGAAACCTACATAAAACGGGAACCTGTATAAAACGGAAACTCCCCGCTCCCCTCTTGATATATTCCTCTTTAATTACCTGTATAAAACGGAATCCTGTCCAACGTGGAAACGGGAAAAAAAATCCACTCCCTTCCGAGGATTTCACCTGTCTAAGACGGAAAATGCTTTGCCCGCTCACCCCTGATGTGAAACAAAATTTGCAAGTTTGGTTCCGCCGGCTCTAAACTTAATGCCATGGCCATGTCGCTAGGCGAGGAAGGGGAGTAGGGATTAAATTTGGGGGTAGATGTTACCCCATCATGTGAGCCCCGAGCAATGTAGATGGTCAGGGTAGTGTGGGTGTGAAATCTCACGATTGCCCGTGAGAGTGCTCGAGATGCGAGCCACTACGGTAACTTTCCTGGGTAGCCAGAAGCCAGAGGCGTGAAACTAGTTTGACCGATGCCTGCTGCCCAGATCGTACGCCACCCAAGAAAAGAATTCCTTGAATCGTTGTTATATGATGGCAGTGAGGGGTGGCATTGGTTGACTGTGCTTGTTACACCGATAGGTGGGGCTAAGGGTGGAAGTATAGGAGATGTTCAAACATTTCTGTTTTTAACCTTCCAGCCCCAGCCATTTTTGTGCCCTTCCTTACCCCAGTCCCAGCCAACACAGCGGTATTTCAGAGAAACTAGCATGCATTCTAAAAAGTGATCTAGTATCTTTGTAATGAGGTTTAGGTAATAACATAGAACAGTGTTCAAAGGTAAATGAACGAAAATTATGAAAATTACAGTTTAATTAGGTTCGCTAATTTAGAAAAATGCGCAAAATTGGTACCTCCCGAAACTGAGAATATACGCTCTTGGGATGGTGGGAGGTACAAGCTCTGCTGAAAATATACACGCTTGGGGCTGGAAGGGTTAATAGGTCAAACAGTGGTCCTATAAAAGGCAAGGACTGGTGGTAATTGGATAAGTAAGAGTGACGCATGTCATTATCAGACAGGATAGCAGTTGAGAGGTGTGAAGCTTTGACCACTGCTTGCCGATCTGACAAACGATCCTTGATCCCACCGGCAGGGCCTTTGAACTCCCCCCCCCCCCTTCCATCTCCCCCTTAATTTCCTTATTTCCCTGTCTAAGAAGGAAAATGTCTAAGACGGAATTTTTTTCTGGCTCCCTTGCGATTCGTCTTACACAGGTTCGACTGTATGTGTATTGTATTAGGTATTTTTTTTCATACAATATTATCCATTGTCCCCCCCCCCCCTACTCTCCTTCTCTCTCCCTCTCTCTGTCTCTTCCTCTTTCTCTTTCTCTCTCTGTTTCTTACTCTCTTTCTCTCCCTCCCAAATAATTGGAATCTAAAACTTCTAATAGCTTGTAAATTGTTTTCGTTTTCTTCTTATTTTGTTCACGTTTAGAACACTAACAAATGTTCTTATTATCTCTAATTCCTAAGGCTGTTGAGATGCAAGCTAGTGCACAACGAGAGAAAGAAAACGCCCTGGCAATGACAGACTGTCAATTAACAGAGATGATGGCAACACTGGACAGTTACAAACAGAGCAGTGAGAAAGTTGTCTCTGAGAAAGATGTAGAAATTCAAGCCCTGAGATTGAAACTGGAGAGCACCGAAAGAGCGTCTATGGTATTCACATTGTCTTGCCTTCTTGGAAATAGAATAGTTCTTTATGTCAGATATTTTATTTGCTTTTATATTTGAGGAAAGTGATTAACAAAAGAGCTTCAGAAATATGACTTGGAACTGCTTTATCAAAAGTTAAGTTTTAATGAACAGTTCTCTTCACTTTGACGTGATTGACAAAATGGCATCAGAAAAATGAAAGTCTGCATTCAGTTGTTTATTTCCATTGTTGGTTGGAACTTCCTTATGAAAAGTTCCTGGCTTTTGTTGTTACCTTTTTGAGCTGTGCATTTGTAATTTTAATCATGAACTCAATTCTTTTAAGTTAACTTATATATGTTTGTTTAATACTTCATAATTTCAGAAACTTGAGAGAGATATTGCAGAGTACAGAAAAGAAATTAAATTATCAAAAGATCGTTTTGAAAAACTGGAAAGAGAAAAGGTAAGACTTAAAGAATATGGTTTGGGGTATGTTTATGAAAACAAGAGTGAACGTGAGTCTTATGAAATTCCAGCATGATGTTTAATTTTTTGCCTACTTTATTGCTGACACAAAAGTCGCCTGAATTAGAATTCAACTCTCAAATCTCAGAACGTGTAACATGAAGTGTCCTCCACTTAAATGAGTGCTGTAGGCAGAATTTGGGCAAGTGTTGCGGGGACAAAAGTGTTTTTCTGTTGATCTATATTCTGCAGGTTTTTTTATTGGCCTGAATTTAACAGTAGTAATGAGTTTGGGACATGGGACTCTAAAATGGCTTAAGTCCATAAAAGACAAATAGATGGAAACATGTGAGTTTCGGGTTCTATTGATACTGAGCTGATTGTTTGTGTTTGGTTAATCCTAACTAAGGACCAGTCACTCTCCCCTTGCTTCGTGAAAAATGTGCAGGAGAGCAATTTACAATGTGAAGTCCTCTCTGTGGGGACTACATGAGTAAATTTGTCATCACCAAATGTGCATATCGTCTGACCTTGTGAAGAAACAGGTCCATCCCTTTGTAAAAATGTAGATCTGAAAATAGCCTTTTCTTTCTGTTTACCCTTGAAATATTTCTCTAGCCTTTCCTTTAATTTAAACAAATTCTATTTTTTACTTAGTGAAATTGTGCAATCATCAAAGCCATTAGCAATTTAAGGTAGGGTATAATTTTAGTCTAGAGTGTATCGCAAAAACTTTTTCATTATTCCTGAAATGTAATCATTAATTTGTGTAGAGTTTTTAACTTCCACAAAAGTCAGTGCTGAGGTACCAGTAGATGTATTTAGCTTTCTCTCTTTGTAGGACCAGCATATTGCATCTCTTCAGACAGCCGCTGCTGAAAAGGCTCCCTATGACTCTGCTGCCAATACTCATTCCCCTACTGGAAAAGTTCAGGTATGAACGGGAAAAATGAAACATTGCCACTATAGTAATCCGTGACATGAACTCACTTAATCAGGACCCTGCACCTTTGCAGTTGGTTTTTTTTCTCCCGCACATTCCCCTGAAAAACTGTTGGAATCATGCTGCACTGTTTTTCAATTAAGATTTCATTCGTCACTTTTTTTTTACCTTTCTGTGCCTGTCTTTTGTTGTTTTTTTTTCCATTTCATTTCTCATTACTGATCAGATGGTTGAGGTTTTTATGTTTCATAACATAAATAATTATAATGTCTGTTGAAATTTGAGAACTGAAATTTTTCTTGGACTTGCAGATCCCTCCGTCCACTCCCGTGGTCTCTGTAGCTCCGCAGCAGCAAAGTGTCACTTCTGTGCCAAGGACCCCAAAGACCCCTGTGAACCCAATACCAAAGACTCCTCAAAAAAGCATCTTACGAGTTTGCAATTCAGCTTCAAAGAAGAGAAAAGTCGTGTTTCAGCAGGAAGAAAGTCCCCGTGGGTCGTCTTCAGAGGAGTCTGATCTGATGGAGCTAGACGTAAGCTTTATAAAAAGAATCTTTTTAGGACCCATGCATTTTTGTGTCTGGACCCAGGGTCCTTCAAAAATCTAAACCTTTGGACTGTGTTTTTATCTATATTGAACTCTTAAATGCCAGCTTCCATTTTCTCTGTTTAAAAGCACATGTTTCAGATGAGGTACTCTCTGGATCGCATACATGCAGTTTGAATGAGCAGAATACTGGATATAACATATATTGGTGTTTGACTCATTCAGTTCTGCAAAAAGTCAAGATTTGAGAGATTGTTGAAGTTCCTCTTCCCTTTTACATTTTATCTGGCTTTCTGCATTGATACTAAAAAAATTGTCACACTTTACTTAAAGATTGAGAAAATAATGTTATCTCTCCTTGTCTTTAACAACCTATTTAGAGGCATTCCGTCTCTCACTCTGCTTGACTTTTACTTCTCTTGAAACATATGTCTTCAGGGCTACTCGCCCCCTTCCCTCCCCTCCTCAGTTTTGCACAGTTTCTTGTCATCTGTCTCTACCTTTCTGTCTTATTATTTTAGACTTTCGTCTGTTTCTCACACCCTGGGTACAGGTACTTTAATATCAGCAAAATACCTTTCTGTGGCGATCCTTTGCCATCACCTCTAAATCACTTCCTTTTCCTCCCTTTTTTCTCTTTGTTTGTATTTGCTAGATTGCACAAATGCACCTTACAGTAAGTGATTTTTCAGTCATTAGTATGACAGAGTACATCTTTTAATGACAAGAAAACAGTTACACGAAGGATTGGGGGGGGGGGGGGGGGGGTTCTGGCTTTGCTATTTTTTAAATATCAGCTTTTTCAATGCATACTGTTGGGGGCTCTCGTGGCCTAGAGGTTAAGGTGTTTACCTCTCATTCAATAGGTCACGCGTTTGAATCCAGATCGCGACGGAAAATTTTCTTCTTTCACATACTTTCCTGCTCTCTGACAATGTTCTGCTTTCATCTCCACTTCCAGCCATCACCTTCTTTGCCCCCTCCTCTTGGCTCCTGACTCTTTCTACTGCTTCTCCATGGCTCTTTCTTACTGCAGTCTTTCAGCCACACCTCTGATCTTATGGTGGGTAAGATCTACACCTAACCTTCACGGACAAGGGGGAAAAATCTCGGAGGTTCAGTGTGTAAGTTGCGCTTGTTAAAGATCCCTTGATGCTCCAAAATCGATAAGAGTAGGCTTTGGCTGTCACCCGTGCAAAATTCAAAATTTCCTACCAACTGAAAATGTTTAGTGTGCCCCACGTACTCAAATGACCTTATACTGTTGCAAGCGCCCTAAAACACTTACCAAACAAACAAAAAACATACTATTGCACTCCAAAGGTTTTGGATTTTTTAAAACTCCTCATGCTTTAATAATGATGTATATGCATGTTTGTCTTGATTTCCTGCTACCCCATCCCCTAAAATACAGCTAGCTGATTAGGAACAATGTCTCCCCTCAACTTTACTGTCTTTTTTTCTTTGATAATGTCTTGCATTTGGATACTCCTACACACCTTTACTTAACCCTATCCGTAAGCCCTGGGGTCATTTTGTACCCCCGAGGCTGTATTCTTCACATTTTAGAATACTTCTAGTACAAAGATCTCTTTGAAACTTCCACAATTTCTCAAAAAATAATTTTGACAGACTGCTATGCAAAGCGTACAGATCGGATTAACGAGTAAACTTTCTCTTTGAAAGTGGTGGCACAGAGTTCCCCACATTGTATGGATACGATTGTAAAACATGACGTACGGATAGGGTTAAAGACATCTCTCATTTTTCCTATATCGGTACAAGTCTGGTTCAGGCTGTATAACTCACTGTGTTATTTGTTCTTTCCAGCCTGAACAGACTGTAAAAGACAAGAGCTTGACACCGTTACTGCGGAGGGCCTCGCCACAGATTTCTGTGGTAAAGGACAGTGTGAGGTCATACACTAGATCCACTCCGAGTAGAATACCTTTGAACCAAACTACAAGAAACTCTGCTGTTAAAAAGGTAGGAACTGATCATAATTTTAAAAGTGCAGAACTTTGTGTACCGGTATTTAATATTAGTAGCTCACTAAGTCATAAACAGATGCTTGTACCTCAGTCATTTCTAATCTCTGCCCATGAATACCTTGTTTTTGTTGAAAAGATGAACTTAAATCTCAATAGTGATTTTGATTATTTCTAATGTTGTGGTCTATTTTACAAATGTCAGTTGTCTATTCCTTTTTGCTAAATTGTATCATGTTGATCTGCTATTCCATTTTGTAAAATTGTTCTCATTCTTTTACAGAAAAAGGAACCAAGTGAGTTGATCAAAAACCCAACTACTCCTGTTGTTGGTGATAGAAGAAGCTATGATGATGTTCCAATCGAGAGATCCAAACAGGTATTGTCTTTAATTAATAAGAAACAAACTTAAAATAGCTTGTGGAGTAGGGATGGGCAGGTACTGGTACCCAGTACCGGAATTCCCGGCTCTACTGAAGGAGGAGTCAGTACCGGCACCTGCCCTCCAGTACCGGCTCTCGGAAGCAGCCGACACCAATGATTAATACCGACTCTGAGAAGGAGCCGACGCGACCAGTTTTTTTTTCTTAGCGGGCCACGGGAAGTGTGCAGTGTGTAGGCCTAGGTCTAGCGGCTGGGGCGTCAGATGCACAACGCAGCGGGTGACCTTGATACAGGACTTCAGATTCAAAATTGACAATCAAAACGAAGTTTGCTTAAATTTGAAATATGGCTTCAAATCAGGTTCCCCGCGAGCCACTTTGCTTATTTTGATACTCTGATTCCGAAAATGAAATCAATTTTTAGCGGCGATAACTATTTTTAAGATTCTGCTTGCAAAGTTTAATCCCTCGCGGCGGCAAATTTCAAAGGCATTTTGCGTCACAGTTCGCCTCTCCAATTCTGACTGGTGTGTGTGTGGAGGGGGGGGGGGGGTACGGGCGTCGCTGATCGTGGCGTTAGACGCAAGACGCGAAGTCTGTGACATCACCTGTTGGTGTCACTCTCAGTACCGGTACTGGAGCCGGTACTGGCGGTTCTCGGCACCTGGTGCCGAGAAAGTACCGACACTGGATTTCGCCGGTACCGCCCACCACTATTGTGGAGTCATGTTTCCTATTTTTTATATTTTGGTTTGGAATGTTGTTGATTCATCTAACAATGGTGCACACTATCAACTTAGTGATATGTCACATTTTCAACACTTCTGCAGTAGAAGGAGCATAACATCACTTTGTTTGAGGAAGCCCCACTATTGTCATTTAGACAATGAATTCAACTTCAAATTGCTAGTAGACATCTTGCATAGTCTAGAAATTTTAAACGAGAAGAGTGGGGGAGGGCATTTTATGCCAGCTTTCATTATACTTTGGAGTTGATCTAACTCTGAGTCTCTCCTTAAAATCAAAATTACAAAATCACAAGGAACTTTTTTTTTCAGTGAACTTGAGATATGCTGTGCATATTTTGTAATAATCAGGTTTATAGAATCATAGAATAATCTTGCACTGCCATGAGTTTTTCTTTAAAAATATCTTTTTTGTTGTTGTTGTTGTTTAGAAGAGTTAGCCCAATCCCTGAATATTATATTGTTTAGCAATACATGTTTGGCTTAGTTCTCTTTTTTCTGTTTGTTTTCAGAGAGATGATAAAAGCAGCACTCCAAATGTCAGAAAGGCATCATCAAAGTTTTTTACCTCAACGAGAGAACGCTCAGGAGTCAGTACAGGAGTCAGTAAAACAAAGGTGAAAGACAAGTCAGGTGGTGGTGGTCTGCTGTCCTGGATTGACATGGATGAGGTGTACGGCTTTGGGCCTGAGGACTAATTGGTTTTCTTTTTTGTTAGCGGACAAAATGTGTCCATTTTGTATTTATCACTCTGATATAGAACACTGATGTTCTGCATCATATGTAAAGGCTTATAATGTTTGCTAGTGTTCATTTTCATTTTATATAGTACTCAAGAAATCACTCAGTAAGTATATTTTTAAAAATGTGGTAGGTCAAAATCATAGAGACTACCTTGATCAAACCAAATTATTGTAACTATTTTTCATTTCGTTTGATGTGGAACATGCATAACATTAACCCTTTGAACTCTTTTGATTTTCACGTTTCCAAAATCCACATGCCTGGACCAGGGACTACTCAGTGGTGAGTAGCTCAGGCTCTCAGGCCTCACAGGATGCCTAGAAATTCTGGCATTAAAAGTTTGAAGGGTTGATAATATGCTGACAGTAAGAAGAAATATGATTGTTGGTTGTCAAGTGGAATACAATAGCTGCAAAAAGGGAATTTACTGGTATTTATTTGATAACACCACCATATGACTGAGGTGAATTAAGTTTAATTTTTGTCGAGACTTACACTGGATGAATTGAGAGTTACCTTACATGCTATTCCGCCCAAATGTTTGAGTGAATGTTGAACTCACATAGTGCCTTAAAGGATTTGCAAATAGTACCAGTCAGAAATTGTTTTTCAGGATGTGGAATTATGATGCAGCCAAATATAGAAAGCTGTTAAGAACATGTTTTAATATCATTTCCCATTGTATTTACCTTTCTATTTAATTTCCCTTTTTTTTAAAGTGTTTGAATATTTAAAGCTTGTCTTCCTGTTAGTATGAATTCACAGAATTGTTGTCACATCCCCAGGTTGTTATTAAATTGGCTTCCATAATTTACAGGGAGGTGGAATTCATGTACCAGTATGTGCTATGGAGAGATGTATCACGTGTCTGGAAATGTGGTTCAGATTACATTTGCTCTCCCACTGTCAGCTGACTATAGGGTTTTAATTTTAGATTTGTTCACGTTATTTCAGTAGTTTCTTCAAGCATGTAATTTTTTGGCACATCGTTGGATTTCTTTACTTTCATTGAGCTCAAATTATATCGCGAAATGGAGTATGAGGGTTGCCAATGCTTTCTCTATCTCTTAAAGTATTGTTATGTTTCTCTTCACTTTAATACCTTATATGAAGAACATGATGTGACCTCAAGTTGTTGCCAATTGAATGAGTGAGCTCATTTGAAAAATGTACCAAAAATAGTTGTGGCATTGGTAGTCAAGTTAGGTTGTAGGGGCTCACAGTCGAAAGATCATGGAATCAAACCCCATCATGGGCCTTGTGTGGTGCCTTTGGGAAAGACATTTTACTTACATGACTTTTTCTCGCTTTACCCAGGTGGGAATGGGTACCTGGTTATAGACAATGAAAGATCTTGTCAGTTTGTTAGTGTCTGAGCTCTTAATCAGCTGCTTGCACTACATATGTGCTTTCTGAAAGCCAATAATGTTTTTGAGTGTTCTTGGATCTGCTTTGGTAATGATAGTTGAAAAGCAGATAATGCCTGTCTTGTAACAGTTTTCTGTACAGTGGATTTTTAAAATTGTTTCACACACAAAATTATAAGGTCAATAATAAACTGACAAAGTTACAGTGGAATTCGGATTCAATGAGCTCAGATTCAACAAGAACTCACAGCCCTCGCAGATGTGGCTTCGCTCATTTTTCTCTCACCACGAACTTTATCTAGTATTCCTGGAAACAACCCATTGCACCTGCATCGTGAAGCATTATTCACTTAGCGGATTGCTTGCGATCGATCAACAGCCTTCTTTCATACCAACACATGCGTTGTTGGCACGCGCACGTGTCTGGCACCAGCGGTCTGGGCGTGGAACGTCGCAGATACAAACGCATCACAGTCTTTTTCCCCCCGGCAACTGATCATTATTACAATGATAAGGTCGTCTTGACGTAGATCTACGTAATGAATTGTGTACTGGTGTAAGGAATCAAAAGTTTCCATATGCTAGGCTGTACTCAGCAACACAACTTTTTGGCAAACTATCAAGATGACACAGACGTGCATTTGAACAATTAGGTTTTTTTTTCTTTTGCACAGCTCATAATATGCGAGCATTTCAGGCATAACTTGTTACTTCTCTTTACACATTACTTGCTCAGTGCCTGTAATTATCTGCTCAAAACCCCATGTTTGCTATAATCAACACTCTGGTTCAACGAGATTTTAGGTCAGGCCCGGCAACCTCGTTGAATCCGAATTCCATTGTATTGCATTATTACAGATGAAATTCCTGTATAGTATTTTTTAAAATAAAGATTTTTTTTTTCGCTCAGCTTGTGATACTGTTTTCAAAGAAAAAGGGAAGAAAATATTTCTTGTATGATGGTACTGTTCTGATGTGAAAGATTTTTCTGTTTTCTGATATTTTGTCATTTCTCTTTTTCTTGATGATACAATGACTTCCTGAAATACTATCAACGTTGAATTGTTCAGATTTGATTGGTTTGGTGTGTTAGAGACGAAGCTCTATATTGAATATTTACGCAGTGTTATATATCAATTTTTCATTTCCTCATTTTAATACGAAAGAGAGATATATTTCTGTGATAAAGACTGTTGAAAAGAGTTCCAGTGGAACTTAAAAGGTTTATTTTATTATATTGGTGCAATTGTTATTAAATATTGGTTTTAAGAAGCTATTTTTTGTTGTTACTCCTTCTTGAAATTCCTTGTGAACTTGTTTCCTTCCCTTAGAATTAAGTATTTGATGGAGGGGAAGGGAAAGTTATCTACTCAAGGGGCCTTATGGAGCTCACTTTCAACAATGATAGCTTCGTTTTGCTTTAGGATATTGTACTTATTTTTGTAGATTGTGTGTGTGTGTGGGGGGGGGGTAAAAAGTGTTTCCAGTCTGTTTGACTGAAACGCTCTTGAGAGTTGTGTGAGCTTGCAGCATCACGAAATGAAATGAGCGCTGCAAACTAAAGGTAAAAGATTAATCAGACTGAATGCTGTGTATTTTATTTGAGGCTACAAAATCTCTATACACTCCCAACATTAGGTATGTCTCTGAATCACGACACGAACAGCAGCTTTTACTAGAGTTGTGAAAAGTTCGGGTGTCTGTGGCTAGTGAGTAATTGATCACGTTCTCCTTTTCTTTAGACCATTTAAAGAAGCTGGAGAAGAATCAAAACAAATGTGGTACAGAAAAGTGGAAAGACAGGGAATATTGTCAAGAAGCTAGACCGAGATATGGAAAAGTAGAAAGTGTTTGCCCATGGTGATCCAGAGTGAGAAAGGCAAAGTTTCGGTCGCTACCCAGAATCGAACTCGGGACCTTTAAATGAGAGGCCAACTCATTAACCTCTAGGCCACTGGGGCCCCCTTTCAAAAACCTGTTCAGTATAATATAGTAACAAATTTATAGGCCTGTAGTATAATAAGATAAGGAGGAAGGAGGACATTGAACTAACCTACAATAATTTATACTGTTGGTCCCTCAGATCCAATTTTTTAAACTTTAATAAGTAAAATAGAGAGGGTATGTTTAAAAGATCATACCCCAGTGTGAGGCTCATCATCAACAGCAGCTAAGTAAGAATTAAGGAAAGTTGGACGCAAAATTATTAAGACAAGAAAGTATCACCCCAGTATTGGAGCATCTTTGGTATCACCATTACACTTATCATCATGTCATTTAGAGGTGCAGGCCTACCGGGTATCGGGGATGAATACTTTTTATCTCTGCGAGTATTCAGCTTTTTACCACCTCTCATTGACTAGGCAACTAAACAGAGAACGGAATAACGCCAAAAGAAACTGGACGTTTTTGTACTGCTCTCGGCTGCTGTGTACACCAGTTCTTGTCTCTGATCAAAATGGCGACCTTGAGGAAAGCCGTCTTGTTCACTGCAAGACATTCAAAGCTTTGTAATTTCGCGTCTTCGAAAAATTTATCAACAACTGCTGTTGTATCATGTAAGTCGATGTTTTGTTAAAATATAGATTTGTATTTTAATTCTAGATCTAGTGTTTTGGGAAAATGACTCGTGACTCAATCAAAACGAGTTAGAGTTAGATTTCTAGAGAATCGAAGTCAGAGTCAGAGAGAGAGTTGACAGTTGAGATCAATGAGAGAGTATCTTTAGACTAGATCTAGATCTAGATTAGATCTAGATATCTAGATGTAGAAGTAGAAGAGTGAGAATTGAGAAGTGTATAATTTTAATTAGTATGAATACTAGGCTACCTTTATAGACTTTTCATACCACGCTAGACTACAGAAAAAGGCAGTGGCTATTCTCAATCTCACCCGCCCGGAAGTTCTCGCAAGATCTAGATCTAGATCTACTCCTCCCCTCTTCTCGGCGCTTTTTCGGTAGTTCCCACCCCGCAATTGTTATTCACGGGTTTTGGCCCCAATAGTAGGGGGGTTGCCCCCCTGACCTAACAAAAATAGGAAGGGGGGTTTCAGGGGGGCATGCCCCCCTGAATTTTACCAGAATTTAATGTTTTGCTGTTGTTAGGTTTGATATCTTAGCTCACCGCGAATCAAACGTATAGATCTAGATCTAGAAGTAGGTCAGACTCAAATAAGGGGGGTGGGAACTACCGAAAAAGCACCCTCTTCTCTCTGTCTCTTTCTGAATACAGTCTATCGGTGTGGACGATCAAATTGACCAAAACAAAGTTAAAAAATGATGTTAAAACACAAAAGTAAATTAATTTGGTTGTCTACAAAGATGCTACGGCTATTTAACTTTTCGAATCGAGCCGAACTACGCGGGTCGCCATTTTGTTTTGCCCAGAAGTTCGAGCGCTACTCCTCTCTCTCTCTCTTTCTCTCTCTCTCTCTCTCCACTGCCCACAGACAAAATTGTACGCTTTTAGTAGGCTACAGTTGTCATGGAACGTTTGTTCACGGCACAGAATTCTACAATTTTTCTGTTATCACAGTGTAGAATTCTGTGGTTTAGGGTGAACGCAAAATTTGTTGGCCTAGATCTAGGCTATTATAAACGGTGAACGCGCACCGGGTGAGAATAGCCAAAAGACTCGCCTGCACTATTCTCACCCCGGGTGAGAATAGAGGTGTCCACAGAAAAAATAAAAGGCTAGATCTAGATCTAACTGTAGGAATATTTAAGGTTTGTCAAGTCTTTGCCATGAATCTCCTGTTTACGTTATTTTTTAACGAAGTGTATACAGACCTGGTAACTGGGATCAAAGTCTTGAAGTATACGAACCCGGTAGGGGAAATCTTTTGTGATTTCGGAAAGTTTCAGCGCCCAGACCCGGTAATGTGTGTGTGAGAGAGGGAGAGAGAGGGGAGAGAGGCAGGCAGAAAAGAGGGGAGAGAGACAAAGAAATAGAGAGGGTGACTGCTTTTTTCTTTTCTTCAAATTGTGATTCCTCCAACTCCAAAACGGAGGAAAAGCGATCGTTCATCGAAAAGACATCTATTCGCAATCTTCATTTAGATTTAGGGGGGGGGGGGTGTAGGGATTTTATTTTTTGGCTGGATGACTAAATGCAAAATAGGTTACAGTCAAGGTTGATCTGTCTTGTTTTCTCGCAGTACCTTTTGAAGGTATTTTCAAATGAAGTGTAGTCCGGGAACGTTGCCCCAACCACAACTGAAGTATCTGAATATTCAGACATCTAAAAATCTCTAGCTCTAGAAATTGAATTTGATGCAAAAAATGCTTCTTCCCAGTCATTGAAGAATGAAAGATGATGCCTAAGTCTGGCAAATAACCAAAACATCTCAAAAACGGAAACCGTTAAGAGAAAAAGAGTTGAAGTTTATTTTCCCGAACGTTCTGAGAAATAGTCACTTCGTTTTTTAAAACCTTTTTGCATGATAGCGCCCCCAGCCCCAGTTGAGTATAATACAGTCCATGCCGGCTTTAAGCACGGTCATCGGGAGAAAGCTTAGGCGTGCTTAATGCCGAAGCGTGCTTGAGCGCGAAGTAGACATAATCCAGAGGTTTTCATTTAGAAAATTTCCCCTGCTATTTCCCTTTGTTTGTAAGTAGGCCTATAGCGGTCCCGCAAAAGTGTGCACTGTGTTATTTTTACCCGCCATGGTAGTTTTTGTTTGCTTGTTTGTTTTTGTTTTGTGGTCAAATGGGAAATGAAAACTTAATTTAGACGGCCAGTCACGATACAGCACACTAGGCCTACATATTGCCTGTGCGTACCACTGCCCGCTGTGCCACGTTCATACCACCGCCTTCATCCACCTCGCGCGTGATACACAATCAGGATTAATGGATAACGATGGTCAAAGGTGAAATCGCAGCCAGCCTCCCTTTCTCGTCTCCCTGACTCTCTTTGTATTTTTTTAGTCTGTGTGTAACTTTGCCCTAGGCTAATCCTATGTCCACGCGTGCGGCTGTGTGCATCTCTCTGCCTTCCTCTCCGTGCGTGTGAGTGTGTGTCTCCATCACTTGCATTCTCTGTGTTTTTCTTAAACACACTCCACTGCTGCAGTGTAGACTGTGTTCGAACTTCGATGGGTCATCACAAAAGTATTGACTGTCTTGTAATGAAGCGTACCTGAAGCCGAAGTTACTGTTCTTACAGACATGTAATTTATATAGCAAAAATTTGGTAAGAGCCGTTTAGCGTGCTTGAGTCCAAAACGTGCTTTAAGCCGGCGTGCTTAAAGCCGGCATGGACTGTACTGTATTCACACAGTTGGCCTACACAGTCATTCCCTCCGTACCATGGCATATTCACTATTGTGTACATCATTTAGGGGTTAATTGAATATATATAGATTCTCTATGTCATGTGCATTCCTGTTGGTGACAACAGATTATTTATGTATTACTAGCAATGTTCCAGATCTGGATGTTTTATTCACATTTGCCTCTCTTTGGGATTTATAAAGTGGTGACTTTCTTCCATCTGTTTACTCTGGGTTATGTTCCTTGCAGACTGGAACAAGGACTGGAAACCAGGCCCCATCCCAAACACGCCAGAGGAGCGAGCAGCAGCTGCCAAGAAATATGGTCTGCGACCTGAAGATTACGATTTGCTGACCGAGGGTGAATTAGGAGATTACCCTAATCTTCCTCTTGTGGCCAAGAGCTGGAAGAACCCATGGGAAGACTACGATATCCCTGGTGACAAGAGAAATTTTGGAGAACCGGTAAGAAATATATTCATTATGTTTCTGTCTATTTGAAATGGAAGGGAGAAACTTTAGAAGCTCATCAAATGTCTTGAGCTGTATGTTTTCTTTAAACACCTGCTATTGAGATATATTGTTTTTTCTAAAGATGGAAAGTTACATTGTTAGTCCTGAGTCTAAAACAGCGAAAATTGTATTGAAAAGAAAGGTAAAAAAAGGCGCTTTAAAAAAATGTCCATCCAAGAGCTGTATGAAACTGGGATATTTTAAGATGTGACTGCTCTCTATAAATCTTTTATTACATGATTTACATGGGAAAAACAGGTAAACTTACAGAAAAAAATCTATCACGTGTTCTCATTTGTTCTGGCACGTGGAAGTTCTGTGAGGTCGAAAACAGTTTCTTTTTTTTTTTAATTTAAATTCTTTTGTGAAAATGCTGTTCTTTTGGAGAGGGTTTTACAATATACTTTTGTAGTCATGACATATGTCTGTCTATTTTTGCATCCTCATTTTAAAAAAGTTGTCTATGTTCTTTAATTCCTTATCTCCGGCAAGCGGCTCATGGTCGGAACTGCTGTGCCAATGAACCGTTGGCAGCAGCTCGGGCACATTCCTCTACCAAAATTTCAATGTCAAATTACTTTTCGGCAACTCTTTTACTAAGAGTTCATTTATTAGATGAAGAACTATCGAAACAGGTTCACTTGTTTTGATTTAGTAATGTATGTAATGTCTGTTTTAGATTTCATACCAAGAAGGCCCTGGCATAGTGGGTTTACTCCCCCTGTGAGACAAAGAGTTGATGGCAGCCGTAGCAGTTGAAAGTATTTCCCGATGTAACAACTTACTGTTGTGTGAAGAAGTATGTGAGAATTAAAAAAGGACATTATCTGAAATACTCAGACTCTTTCTTTGTAATAATTTTGTTATTGAGGACTGACAGGTGGGATGAATTGAGTGAATAGTCATCCTCATTTTTCTTGTTCTCATGCAGTTAGGTTGTTGTTAGTTCTAGTAGATGAATGATTTATTTGCGTTTGTAGTATTCATTAAATATATTAAATGCGTCACTTTCCTTGGTTCCAGATCCATCCAGACAATGACATCATTGGTCAAGATTTGTGGGATCCAAATGCTGATGGCCGATTTACATAGTAAGTTTTCATTTTGTGTTATGCAAAACAAAACACCTGGTGAGGGAACTGTGGGCGTGGTCTAATTTTTGTGAATTTGACAAGCGATACTCATCTCCTAAACGCATGTAATGCAAAACCGCTGTGGTTTTTTTGATTGACTAAGATCATACCGATTAGTTAACATTATTACTCATGAATAGCACTTTTGTGAGGTGTCATCCCTCAGCACCAAAACAAAAAAATGTTCATCAATAGTTACAATCTGCTGTATTTGCTCTCAGGGAAATGTTTTATTTAATTCTGTGTTCCTAGTTTTATTGTTTTAAGCAAGTTTTTGCTTGAAAGTATTAGAGAGAAGGATTTTATTCAGATTTGTTAAGAACATGGGTGGTAAATGGGTGGTAAACATGCTCTTTGTTATCATTAGGTCTAGTCAAAGCTGTAATGTTTTAGGGGGAAAAAAAGATTTTTGTGCTCCACATTTGGAGGGCAATATATGCTTTATGTTTTCTTATGAGCTTAAGAAAGTGTTTGTGGTTAGCAAAAGTTATGACAAGTTTGACACAAATCATGGAAATCATGCCTCATACTGGGTTTTCAAAACTATTTGAGTCAAATTGATGGATTTGGCTGTGAACACTTTTTGATGCTCTTTTTTTGTTTGAGGTTTTTTTAAAAGACATTCTTTTATATACAGTTTTCATTTAAATGAACTTTTCTTCTCCATCAACCTTTGTGTAGTTTTTCTGTACCAATAATTGTAATAACAATGTATTTTTCTTAAAACAGTTGGCAGTCCCTGTTTCGTGCTCTGATGATCGGAGGGGGATTCCTAACAGCATACTTGTTACTCAGGCCCTATCCATTCTTTTTGCCAGAGGTAATTGGAGTATCTTTGTATCTTTTGATTGTCCTTACTTGTTTATGTTGTTGTGGTTTGCTGTTTGAGTTTATTTTATATCCCTTGTCAAGTAATAAACAGTGTTGGCATGCAAAGAGGCATGTGGGTGTTTGGCGGGTGCTCTGATGTGGTTTGCTTGTTCTTTCCTATCAAACATCTATCATATTCATAAATCTCCCCTACTTCTTTTTTGTGTTTGTTACTCTCTTGTAACACCTCTAATCTTCATCACCTTTATGACCTTATTGTGTCGAAAGTGCCGTAAAACACTTACGAAAATAGAAAATTCATAGGCATGTGTCTTCTTGCACGTTTTGAAGTATCAGAAGTTAGTACAGTTAATCTAAAGATAGACGTAGACAGAAAGAATACAAAGTCCCCAATTTTTTTTCCCTTCTGTTTGAACAAGCTCTCTAATCCAAACACCCGGCTAAACCGAAGAAAATCTGGTAGTCCTGTTGATTTAGGTTTAACCGGCCTCCACTGTGTGTAATTTCTTTTTGTTGTTTTTATCTTCAAACAGTACAGCTTTTGTTGCCAGTGTTGTTTCAGTCTACAATTTAAAACTAAATTTAAAACTTTGCAGCTGTCATTGTTAAAACTTACTTTTTGTCTGTCATCATTTATTTTTACCTTGTTTCTAAAAATAGTCTCTTTCTTCTGCAAAGTATTAGTATAGCATAAACACAATCATTTGTTTTTCATTAAATACATTGGAAAAGCGTCTCAATGATTTTTCACAGTTGAAATACAGTAGTGTCCGCTTAAGATCCCTCAGTCGCTTAAGATCCCGCTGTTTTAAAAAAACCCAGAATTTTTACTATACAAAAGTCACCCCTAAGATCTCGCTCTGCTTCACACTGAAGTTCTACTTTCGGCTAAGATCATGCATTTCCGCACTTAATTTACGGAACAAAAACACGGACACAGCCAGTCAACCGAGAGTGCAAAATTGAGATCATTAGATTTAAACTGCCCGACGTGTCAAAGACCAGCTACTCTTGTGAATGTGATCACATGTGCGTTATAAATCTCGATAAAACGGTACAATGTTTGCTTCGACAGATCACACTGAGGTGTGAACTGACCGACGCGTTTGTTTTCCCCAAACTTCACGCACGCATCTGAGCTCTCCATCTAAAATTACAATTACATCACTCGCTGGGTGGGTAGGACCGACAGGTTCACTTTAGGTGGGATCACATCAAACTGTGAACTCTTCCCTGATCAGTGCAGCAGTTACCCCTACTCCCGAATTTGCGAGACAAACTGAATTTTAATTGGTGTGGTTACAACGTAATGGTGCGTAACGACAAGGACGAGGGAACTCAGTCAGAGATAAAACGTTATACAGTGGAACTCGGATTTAACGAGCTCGGATTCAACGAGATGAGACATTCCCCGGGGGGTTTTTTCTTCTTTAAAATCAATAAAAGTAACCCAGATTCAACGAGCACTTAAATCAGCGGGCTCGGATTCAACGAGGTCACTTCCAGGGTGAACAGTCCCCGGAGACGTGGCTTCGCTAATTTTTCTCCCAGAACGAACTTTATCTATTCCCGGAAACAATCCATTGCACCTGCATCGTGAACCATTATTCACTTACCCGATTGTATGCGAACAATCAGCGGTCTTTTAAAATACCAACAAATGTGTTGTGGGCACGCGCACGTGTCTACTCTGGCGTGTGTCGGGATCGGATGGGCGGCCTGCACATGTGTGGCGGGGGGGGCTCTAGCGGCCCAGGCGCTGAACGTCGCATTTACAAACGTGTCACAGTCTTTTTCCCCCCTCGGCAACTGATCATTATTACAATAATAAGCTAATCTTGACGTAGATCTACGTAATGAATAGTGCGCTGGTCAAGGGAATCAAAAGTTGCCCTATGCTAGGCTCTACTCAGCAACACAACTTTTTGGTAAACAATCGAGATGACACAGGCGTGTGTATTTGAACGAATCTGTCTTTTTTTTTACACAGCTCAAAATACACAGGCCTTTCAGGCACTACGTGTGACTTCTCTTTATACATTACTTGCTCGGTGCCTGTAATTATCCACACAAAACCTCGTGTTTGCTATAACGAACACTCGGATTCAACGAGATTTTAGGTCAGGCCCGACGACCTCGTTGAATCCAAGTTCCACTGTACATTTTGGACAGGTAAAGGGGAGGGGCAATTGCCTCAGCGTAGATCTTGAGACTCAGGGTAGGATAATAAGTGTAAATGGCATTCCTCATCCCACTCTAATTGGTCATCACTGTTGACCACGCTTTGCTCGCCATAAGTCATAAGCTCTCTCAGGGGTCACGTCAGTTCATTTAAGAGTAGAGGGAGGCCATTTTACTGGTTATGGGCCTTAACATGAGTCACCGTAGGTTCTTCCCTTGGTGCATCGGCTAAGATCCCGTTTGCCTAAGATCCTGCATTTTTCCTGCTCCCAAGCACCGGGATCTCAGGCAGATGGATAGTATGTGTTGTGCTCCACATATGGTATTATTCTTCAGAAATTTTTTTTTTCAGTGTTTTTTTACATTTTGTCTTGTTTTCTTTTCCCAGATGCCGAAGCAATACCCTTTTAATGATTTATATTTGGAGCGTGGAGGAGACCCAGAGAAAGAACCCTCCATCAAGCACTACACATTCACTCCAAAGTGCTGAGAATATTCTGCAGTAGTTAGGCAAGAAGTGTACAAAGGAATCATCTTTTCATTTTAATGTGAGGCTGACTTTGAAAACTGGATATCAATGTAATGCTCAATGAAATGTAGAGCTCTACTTCATTTGCATTATGCAAGACAGTGATGTTTACTTAAAAGCTAAGAACTTACTTTCCATTTGATTGTTTTTTTACAGTCTATAGGAGAAGGAGCGTATGATTTGAGATGTGGCTTTGATTTTAGATATCTCCAGGGAGAAATTTCCTGTCACTTAATCAGTGATATGACTGTATCAATTCATGCAACAAAAGCAGTTCATATCTTGTAGCCACATTTTAGGTGCCTGTGTGAACTGACATTTTTGCAAGTAAGAGGTCTTCACTTACATTAGATTGAAGGGTTGTTTTTTTGTGGGTTTTTAAAACATATATATAAGTATTTAAAATTATTCATTTCTTCCTGACTAGACCATGCTGTATCTGTCTATGAGCTTTGAATGGTAGAGGCAAATCTGAAGAAAAAGACTGAAAAGTGGTAGGATTTTGCCTATTTGTTGTACATTGTGATCATGCATTGATTAAAGTAACTAATATTTGAAGTTGTGCCTTTTGTTTTTCTTCAGATTTTTGTTGGTTTTTGTTTTTGTTTGTTTGTTTGACCTGGATGAAATTAACCCGCGGGCTCTTGTTGCCTAGAGGTTAAGGTGTTCGCCTCTCATTCAATAGGTCCCAGGTTCAAATTCAGATACCGGCCGAAAAATTTTCTTCTCTAAAATGGTCCCCTTTCACCTCCTTTCCTGCTCTCTAGCACTAGCAATGTTCTGTTGTCTGCTTTCGCCTCCACTTTCTACCCCTACCCCTCACTTCCTTTGCCCCTTCCTTTGGGCTCCTGACTCTTTCTGCAGTCTTTCTACTGCTACTCACTGGCTCCTTCTTACTGCTGTCTTTCAGCCACACCCTTGATCTTGTGGTAGGAAAGATCTACACCTAGCTTTCACGGAGAAAGGTGAAAAATCTGGGAGGTCTCATGTGCAAGTTGCGCACGTTAAAGATCCCTTGTGGGTGGTTGGTGGGTGCTGTGGTGTGGTTTGCTTCTTCTTTCCTATGAAACATCTAGATCTATCGTCTTTATCTCCCCTCCTTCTTTTTTGTGTTTGTTACTCTCTTCTAACACCTCTAATCTTTGGCACTTATATGACCTTATTGCGTTGCAAGTGCCTTAAAACTCTTACTAAAACAGCAAAAGCAAAGATGCCTTGGTGGTCCAAAATTAAGTAGGTTCGGCCACCCAGGCAAAATTTCCTACCAATTGAAAATGTTTAATATCGTGCACACTCATATGACCTTATGCAGTTGTGAGCAGAGTGAAACACCCCCTCCCAAAAAAAGAAATAAATAATTAACCCTGCTGATGCTAACAGGGTTACTGATACACAGTAGGCCCCCCCTAGTTGCATTATATAGGGGCCACTGAGGCTGATCACAGTGTGCATACAAAGAACTAACTGTGTCCACTTTGTTGATTGAAAACGGGGCTGAGGAGAAATTTCGTGATGGAAACCTGGGAATGCTGTATATCTGATCTCTCTGGAATTTATCTTACTTTAATTCTGTGCATGTGTGTAGTTATTACTTCCTGCCTGCATGGAAAATAATAATTATTGTCTGTTTTTACTGTTGCAACATCAGTGCACTCCAGGCTGGTCACTAGTCTGTCCCCGTCGTTTTATGCAAGAAAAATTATGAAATTATGCAAACTGGGCCCAAAAATGTGAAATTATGCGATTATTTTATTTTTAACAACGAATGTTAAAGGAAAATAATCAGAAATTATGCAAAAAATGATCAAATTTGGCTTATTTATGGGGTGCATAAAACCACGGGGACAGACTAGTTTTTTCATGTCTCACTCCAAAGTCACACAAGGAGTATTCCAAACTGTAGTACAGTCAAACTCGGATATAACGGGACCAGCAGTTTTTCTCTGTTATAAGCGAGTTCTGCCATAACCGTTATCAAAGGAAACTACCATTGTACCTGCAGCTTACTACATGTATATATATTCGATTACTGTAGATCCTTTTCCAGTGGGCTGTTTTGCTGACACAGAGACGGAATCGATCAGTGACCCCAACACTATGGCGGTGGGGCGGGGTGTTTAGGCAAGCGATCATATAAACAACAGGCGAAATGTCTTGGTTGAGACAAATGTTAATAATTTGACGGATTGAAAGCAAGTTCATGCGCTGCAAGTGCAAGATCACAGTTATCAGTTATCCGAGTCTGCGCAAATTGAACCCTGTAACAGCTTACACTTATTTCCTGCTCTCTACATGTAACAATGTTCTGTCGTCAGCTTTCGTCTCCGCTTTCTGTCCCACCCCCTCACCTCCTTTACCCCCTCCTCTGGGCTCCTGACTCTTTCTGCAGCCTTTTTACCTCTAGCCTACTCCTTGGCTCCTCCTTACCGCTGTTTTTCTGCCACACCCCTGATCTTATGGCAGGAAAGATCTACACCTAACCTTCTGGGACACGGGCGAAAAGTCTCGGAGATCCAAAATCGACAAGAGTAGGCTTCGGCCGCCACCCGGCCAAAATTCAAAATTTCCTACCAACTGAAAAATTAATGTTTAATGTGTCCCGCGCACTAATATGACCTTATGCAGTTGCGAGCGCCGTAAAATACCTACCAAAAAAAAGGATTTTCTTTCCCCCTTACGTAAGCCTGATGTATGCTATGTAGTATGTAGGTGCCAGTAGTTGTCTTATTGTGGGCCGGAGTACACTATAATATATAGATGCAGTTCGAGTGTGCTTATTCGACGTCAAAGTCAGGCTTATTGCAGAAAAGTCTGTCTAACTTTCACCTGTCTGTCTGTCTGTCTGTCTGTCTGTCTGTCTGTCTGTCTGTCTGTCTGTCTATCCTCCTC